CAAGGGGCACCTAGGTAGTTTCCAGGTTCTGGCTATGACAAACAATGCTGCTATGAACACAGTTGAATACATGGCCTTGTGGTATGATTGAGCATCCTTTGGATATATACCCAAAAGTGGTATTGCTGGGTCTTGAGGTAGGTTGTTTCCTAATTTTCTGAGAAATTGCCATACTGATATCCAAAGGATCTGGACCAGTTGGCACTCCCACCAGCAATGCAGAAGTGCTCCCTTTTACCCCACATCCTCTCCAGCATAAGTTATCATCATTGTTTTTGATCTTGGACAGTTTTATAGGTATAAGATAGAATCTCAGAGTTGTTTTGATTTGCATTTCTTTGATGGCTAAGGATGTTGAGATTTCCTTAAATTCCTCTGTTGAGAGTTCTTTGTTCAGGTCTGTATCCCATTTTGTATTGGATTATTTGTTCTTTTGATATCCAATTTCTTAAGTTCTATATATTTTGGAGATCAGTCCTTTGTCTGATGTGGGGTTGGTGAAGATCTTTTCCCATTCTGTAGGCTGCTGTTTTGTCTTGTTGACCATGTCCTTTGATTTACAGAATCTTTTCAGTTTCAGGAAATCCCATTTATTAATTGTTGTTCTCAGTGTCTGTGCTATTGGGGTTATATTTAGGAAGTACTTTCCTTTGCCAGTGTGTTCACATGTACTTCCCACTTTCTCTTCTATGAGGTTCAGTGTGGTTGGCTTTATGTTGAGGTCTTTGATCCATTTGGACTTGAGTTTTGTGCATGAAGATAGATATGGATCTATTTGCATTCTTCTACATGTTGATATCCAGTTATGCCAGCACCATTTGTTGAATATGCTTTCTTTTTTCTACTTTATATTTTTGTTTCTTTGTCAAAAATCAGGTGTTCGTAGGTGTGTGGATTAATATCAGAGTTTTCAATTTGGTTCCATTAATCCTTCTATTTGTTTTTATGCCAATACCAGGCTGTTTTCGGTACTGTAGCTCTGTAGTAGGGTTTGAAGTCAGGGACTGTGATGCCTCCAGAAGTTCCTATATTGTAGAGGATTGTTTTGGCTGCCCTGGATTTTTTGCCTTTTCATATGAAGTTGAGTATTGTTTTTTCGAGGTCTGTAAAGAATTTTGCTGAAATTTTGATGGGCATTGCATTGAATTTGTATATTGCTTTTTGATAAGATTGCCATTTTTTTTACTATGCTAATTCTACCTACCCAAGAGCATGGGAGATCATTCCATTTTCTTGTGTTTTCTTCAATTTCTCTCTTCAAAGATATAAAGTTCTTGTCATACAAGTCTTTCATTTTTTTGGTTAGAGTTACTCCAAAATATTTTATGCTATTTGTGGCTATTGTGAAGGGTGATACTTCTCTGATTTCTTTCTCAGCCTATTGATCATCTGTGTAAAGGAAGGCTACTGATTTTTTCGAGTTAATCTTGTATCCTGCTACATTACTGAAGGTGTTTATGAGTTGCAGAAGTTCCTTGGTAGAAGTTCTGGGGTTGCTTATGTAAACTATCACATCATCAGCAAATACTGAGGGTCTGACTTCTTCCTTTCCGATCTGTATCCCCTTGATCTCCTTTTGTTGTCTTATTGCTCTACATAGAACCTCAGGAACTATATTGAATAAATATGGAGAGAGTGGACAAACTTGTCTTGCTCCTGGTTTCAGTGAGATTGCTTTGAGTGCTCTCCATTTAGTTTGACATTGGCTGTTGGCTTGTTGTATATTGCCTTTATTATGTTTAGGTATGTTCCTTGTATCCCTGCTCTCTTCAAGACCCTTATCATGAAGGGATGCTGTGTTTTGTCGAAGACTTTTTCAGCATCTAATGAGATAATCATGTGGTTTTTTTTCCTTCAGTTTGTTTTTATGGTGGTTTATATTGACAGACTTTCATATGTTGAATCATCCCTGTATCTCTGGGGTAAAGCCTTCTGGTCATGGTGGATGACTTTCTGATCTGTTCTTGGATTCAGTTTGCCAGTATTTTATTGAGCATTTTTGCATCAGTGTTCATGAGTGAGATTGGTCTGTAATTGTCTTTCTTAGTAATGTCTTTGTGTGGTTTGGGTATCAGGGTAATTGTAGCCTCATAAAAAGATGTTGTCAATGTTCTTTCTGTTTCCATTGTGTGGAATAATTTGAGGAGTATTGGTATTTTTCTTTGAAAGTCTTTTAGAATTTTGTGATGAAACCATCTGGCCCTGGGCTTTCTATTGTTTGGGAGACTTTTGATGACTGTTTCTATTTCTTTAGCAGTTATAGGTCTATTTAATTTGCTTAACTGGTCTTGATTTAATTTTAATAAGTGTTATTCAGAAAATTCTCCATTTTTTTTAAGTTTTCCAATTTTGTGGAGAACAGGTTTTCGAAATATGACCTAACGATTCTCTGGATTTCCTCCATGGAAGACAGTGCTTTTTAAGAACTTCCCAGGCCTCCAGCTCTTATGGACTTTCCTCCCTGATTTCTGTGACATGCCCTCGGTCTTACAGGTGTGAGATAGTTTTCCCATTTAGGGCCAAACACTCATCCAGCCATTTGTTCTCTGCATGTGACCAGTTATCCTGCTCAAGCTTATTAACAGGTGAAAATGTGGCCGCGTCAGAGAAGCTATGAACGTTCTGACAGTAGTAATTGAGATGGCTGCCAGTCCTTGGGTCCATCTTCAGTGGACCATATTCACCTGGAAATAAGCAGTTGTATTTCTTTTTAATTCACTTCCTTCCCACTTCTCCACTGTGTTTGGGGATCAAATTCAGGGCCCCGCCTTGCTCACCATCCATACACATCACTGAGCTAGATCCTGAGCCCTTTCTAATATTATTTTTTTTATACTTTTGATCTGATTACTTTTTTTCCTGTACATTGGCCTTATACTTACTTTTGAACCCTCACATTCTGGCTAGTTGAATGGATAATAAAATGAAGGACCCATCTTCTGGTAAATTATATTATGAAACCAAAGGTAGGTGGTAGAGTAAAACTATAGGAAAAACAGGCCAGATATTGACGTGATCTCTCTAGGGCAGACCCCTGAAGTCTGATGAACTAATATTGTGTGTACAGCAGCATCAAAAGGATGGGCCACCAGAGTTTGCTCAGTATATTGCAAAGAATGGCACTGGTTGTTGTATGGAGAACCTAAGAAGAAGGAAGAAACTGTGTCTGTGTATCTTGATAGGAAAGACAGCAATTCTGCTAGTCTGTGACTGTCACTTAAATGTTTGGAAAGCTAGGTCATTTCAGAACATTGGTGCCTTGAAGCAGAACTCCAGTCAGCTTCAGGAGTTTTTGTCCTTTTCATTCCCATTGCTGGGTGGAGCTAGAAGATGCTTGTCTGCTGGCAGAAGACTGGAGCAGTGGTCAGAGAAGCAAGGGCAGGTGACGGGATTCTCAGGAAGGCGGTGACCTCCGAATGTGGACGCTCAGATTAATTCCTGGTCTTTTCGTTTGCTAGACCATTGTTTATGCAGCACTAGAAGGCAATGGTGGAAGCAATGGAATAAGATAAGGAAGTTGATATTCTGTCAGCATAAAGAGTTATTTTTCCTATTAAGATTGATTTTTCAACCCTCAAATAAGAGGTCAAATATTTAGTTGGCCATTAGTGAATGGGTCCAAGCAGAAATTTCTGCCAGGGGTTTGGTGATAATTAAGACTCAGATTTCTTTCTTCGTCCTGTATGGCATGAAATTCTTCCCACTCTTAAGTACTCTGTTTCTACTCCACCTTCAGCCCTTTCCCACTTCTCCATCTCTGCATGTCCTAGCATTTAGAGTGTGGACCACACCTCCTCCACCAAGCCTGTGTTAACTTGGTGGTGTAATCTGTGCTCCTCAAATCAACGCTAAGGTGCTGATGAAGAGGAGCCGTGCTCTAAAATAACACATCCCTTGTCTGTGGCTGATTTTCTTGGGTGAATTTTCAATGTCTTTGGCTAGGAATTTGGAAAGACTGCTGGTCCTTGCCTCACTATCCATTGGAACCAAGGTGCTCATCCTTACCGTATGTTTGATGGAGCAGTTCTTCAGTTTGGAGAAATCAAAATGTCTGCCAAAAATTGTTTGCTAGTATGACTACTGTAAAGTTTTGTTTTCATAGATATCTCTAGAAGTGGGCATCTAATTTGATAGTGTAGCAGCTAGGAGGTAGTGGTATGCCTCTTCTAACTCGAGTACTTAGGAGGCCAAGGCAGTAGTTTGAGACCAGTCTGGGCTACATAGCAAATTCCAGACCAGCCGGGACTATATAGCCAGACATTGCCTCAATACATACATACATACATACATACATACATACATACATACACACATACATAAATACAGTAAGAAAGACAAAATGCCAATCAACCAATTAACCAAACAATTTCTCCACTTTTTTGTTATTTTTATAGTTATTTTAAGATTCTTTCTTCTGCCTATATAGTAATTTTTAAATGCAGGCAAATAGTTTTGATCTAATACTTTATCTCTTTTTTTTCTTGAGAAAATGTCTACTTATGCAAGTTTATATGATATTTTGAATAGTTTGTTGCTAAATCTAAAACCCTGCATTTAAAAAGAGTTAAGCAAATACTCTTTCCAAGTTCCCTAGCTTCTGAAGATGTGCTTGCATGGCAGAGCGCTCCATCTTAACGAGATGGTGATGCTGAAAAAGGAGAAGAGTGCAGTGTTAGTAGGTGGGTGTGTGCATACCCCAGACCTACAGTCTTTAATACCAGGGTACCATTTTTTTGTTTGTTTTTATCACTTGAGTAGCCCCATTTTTAAAAAAATCATTTGGTAGGCTTGTTGGCTTAAAGATATTTCTAGGACCTAATTCTTATCTGAAACATAGAAAATTTGATATTCTTAGAGAATCATCAGTATTAGAATTGCTAAGTTGTTTTGATAGGTGAGGAACAACATTGGTAATTTGATTTATTCTTAAATAAGATATTGGTTCCTTGATGTAATCCTAACATAAATGTATGGAATTTTTTGGTTTTTGTTTGTTTTAGAATATGCTGAGTTTCTGCATTGCAAAGGAAAAAAATTTACAGATTTTGATGAAGTTCGCCATGAGATTGAAGCAGAAACAGACCGAGTGACGGGAATGAATAAGGGTATTTCCCCTATACCCATCAACCTACGCGTCTACTCTCCACACGGTAAGTATAATGTTTAAATTTGAATTATTCTCCTCAAAAAATTTTCCCTAGAAAAATTCCCATTCATTATAGACCATGCAAACAGTTTGGGCCTTTGAGCTGTTTAGGTCGTGGGACCTCTGGTAATATTCAAAGAGCTAAGACTATTTAGAGAGCGGTAGGAGGGGCTGATAACATCATAATTGACTTGGGAACTGAGAAAAATGCCTTTTAAAAGTTTCTAAACTTTCAAAAATCAGAAGGTGGGCACATAAAAACTTTTATTATTATTATTATTATTATTATTATTATTATTATTATTATTATTGTCTTTAGTCTTTGCCAAAAAATTTTAGAGGTATGTGGTTGAATCCTTCCCTGTTGATCTCCCTGTAGCCATTTTATATTTCTATTAATTTTACTCCTGAGGATCCAGGTGTGATTTTTATCCCTAGACAGTCATCATTAATTCCCATAGGGACTTGCCACCCTCATCTAGGAGATAGTAGTCGGGTTGGATTGGAGGCACCTTGCCACTGACTGCTGGTACAGCCCGCTCACTCTACCCAAAGCTCCACAAATGGCTCACATCTTTCCCATAGGCTAAGTGGCTAATCTTCTGCAAATAACATCTGATGCTTCTGAAGGGGAAGGGCAACTGTTACCCTTAGAATTTTTGTACCACTTGAAGGCGATGCACAAGACAGGCAGACAGCATATGCATGTATTGTTTGGTGTTTTAATTATAGCTGCTTCGTTATGACAGTGAGGGATGGCAGCTCTCTCAGCAAACTGCTAAGCATGTAAATCAATGCCTTCCAGATTATGTTAAGATGATCATTTGGCTTAGCTCAATCATGTAAAAATAGAGAAAATGAGCAACCCCTTTTCGTATTCAACGCTTTTCCTTCTCCTCACTTGGATTGGGGTCATTCACATACACAGCACATAAAGCTGAGCTAAGTGGCAGATGATGCAGTCACCTGGGTGTCTTTAGACAACCTTGTGGGTATGTTTTGGACTGAAGGTATCTGAAAGACTCTCCCATTCTTCCCCACGCAGTGTTAAATCTAACGCTTATCGACTTACCTGGAATAACGAAAGTGCCCGTGGGAGACCAGCCCCCAGACATTGAGCATCAGATCAGAGATATGATCATGCAGTTCATCACGAGGGAGAACTGTCTGGTCTTGGCTGTCACCCCGGCCAACACCGATCTTGCCAACTCGGATGCACTGAAGCTAGCTAAAGAAGTTGATCCTCAAGGTGAGTGTGTGGCTATTATGATGAGAAAAAATCATTGCAAGGTGGCAAGAGCTTTGGCCGTGTTTATAGGTAGGCCAAACTCTAATGACTTAATATCATAAAATTCAACAAGGTCAACGTTGGTAAATAGTTTATATTTCAGGTGCTGAAAGAGGAATAATTAGGGACTACAGCCAAATGCCACATGATTAAAAACGTCTTTAAATGAAATCCAAGAACATAGACACTTTCAAACCTCATTGAATGCTTAGTTTTAAAGGTTAATAAAATAAATTTCTGCACTAGCAGAATTCCATTTACTTAGTTATTATAGGAGTTACCCAAATGTCACAATTAGAACACTTTCTATTGTCTTTTGCTTACTATTTTTTTGAAAATAGGAAAAGTTTAAAAAACAAGCATAGATTATCCAGTCTATATTTATTTGATATATATTATAAAATCAGGGACTTTCTGTGTTATTTGTATGTCAGCATCCTGAAACATCTCTTCCTTCTGATGATGTTTTAATTTTCCCTTTCTCTGAGTTAAGAAATGACAACCTTTCTTCAAAGACCTTACTGGAATACCTTGGTGTGTGTGTGTGTGTGTGTGTGTGTGTGTGTGTGTGTGTGTGTAAAGAAATAAACAAAACCTCTCAGCTGTGTGCTCTCAGCACGGAGGTGTATGGGCCTCAACTCCAGTACTTCCAGCTTTTGTTATGATTAATTGCCTGTATTTATTTGTTCTCTTCATTTTTATTTTTTTACTATTTCTTATTCTCTCCTTTTGAACTGTTTCTCTTATTTTAAAATTTTATTATTATTATTACTACAAATTTTCACCCTCTCCCCTCCTCCCATTCCCCTCCCCCCCCCTCTCCCCCTCCCTCTCCAGTCCAAAGAGCAGTCAGGGTTCCCTGCCCTGTGGAAAGTCCAAGCCCCCCCCCCCCCCTCCATCCAGGTCTAGGAAGTTGAGGATCCAAACAGATTAGGTTCCCACAAAGCCAGTACATGGAGTAGAATCAAAACCCAGTGCCATTGTCCTTGGCTTCTCATCAGCCCTCCTTGTCAGCCACGTTCAGAGAGTCCGGTTTGATCACATGCTCCATCAGTCCCAGTCCAGCTGGCCTTGGTGAGTTCCCATTAGATCGGCCCCACCATCGCTGTGGGTGGGCACACCGCTCGCACCCCTGACTTCCTTGCTTATGTTCTCTCTCCTTCTGCTCCTCATTTGGACCTTGGGAGCTCATTCCCATGCTCCAGTGTGGGTCTCTGTCTTTATCTCCATCCATCGCCACATGAAGGTTCTATGATGATATGCAAGATATTCATCAGTGTGGCTATAGGATAAGGCCAGTTCAGTTGTCCTCTCCTCAGCTGCTCAAGGAACAAGCTGGGGACATCTCCTTGGACACCTGTGAACCCCTCTAGAGTCTGAACTGTTTCTCTTTTAACATCCACTTCTCAGTACTTTTGGTTTTACATATTTGCATGATTTAGCAACTAGATTCTAACCTCTAATTTTTCATTTATGCTAAAATTTTTGAAGTTCAAAGAGCACTTTCTTATTTTATGAATGTTACTTTTATATTTTACAGATAGTATCCTGCTCTTGGTTTCATGAGTACAATGATTAAGAATCTTAATTAGAACTTTTCAGATTCTTCTTTTATAATGCAATTAATCTCAGAGTGCAGTATTTCCTGGTTGCCTTGGCCTCTGTCTTGGATACGAGAGACCTCTGTCAAATCCATGATGGCTTTCTGTTTCTTGTTCACTGACGAGAGTGGAACACCGAACATGTGCAGGATTGGAATCTGGTGGTTAGTAAGCTCGATGTGCAGCAACCGGGCTGTGACTTGGGCTGTTTTTGTTGGTAGAATTTTTGAGCTGCTAGAATTGATATTTTCTCTTGAGATGGTCTAAGGTAGGCCATATGTTCAATATATTTGAAGCTAAGAGGAAGAGTTGCCATGGCTGTGCTTTGCTTAGAAGAAGGCATTGTCAAACACTTCTGCCTGTCTATCAACCCTTACATACTTTCTGGATGATCCATGAGCCTTAGGGGAGTAATAAAATCAATTTTGTTAATGTTTGCCTTTTGACTGGAGTGCTTAATTTATTTAAATTTAGTATCATGACTCATAGCTTTGAATCTATATCTGTTATTTTGTCTTTTTATGCTATGTCCTATGTCTCTGATGCTCTGAAAATGTTTTCTTCGTGTCGCACTCCAGATCCCAGTGTATCACTTCAGTTTCTTGTCATTCACTTACCTGATTTTGAAGTTATTTTCTGAGTGATTTCTCTTAGAATACTCTTAACACTAAATTATGGCAACTTTGTTTGGATCAACGTCACCTTAATTTTAACTGTACACTGAACTCTGCTGATTTTTGATAGCAATACTAGTCTTTTCTAGGCACTTCAGATGCTGTACATTACACACCTATCAAAATAAATATATAACTGTTCCTTTATAGGTGTCTTTCAAGTAAGATATGGAATAAAATGTTATAAATAAGCAACGAAACAAACTTATATTGGCTATCCAACTAGCAGTTATCCTTTCCATTTATTTAGCTGTGAGGATTTGAGTTAGTATCTTCCCTAAGGACTAGAATGTACTGTGGAGGGTCTTCTAGTAAGAGATTCACTCTTTGTTCATTTGGGAGTGTCTCACTTTTTAAATTTGAAAGAGCATTCTCAGTTGACTTTTTTTTTATTATCCCATAACTGTGATTTATCCCTAACTCTGCAGTCAAAACTCAGCTGTGCTTCTAAGAGTCAATAAATGCAGTAGATATGTTATTTTCGCTATTTTTATAAAACTCTTCATCTCTGATAGGTGGCGCTGACTAGTTTAATGTCAGCATGGTACAATTGAAGAAACCTCAGTTAACTGGGACAACTGGAGAATACAGTGTAAAATGTTACTTTCTGCCCTCCCTCCTCCCCCCAGAATGAGTCTTCTGTGTGTGATGATCATTGCTGTGAACCATTTTTTTTTCTGTTTTCATATTTTACCTATCTGAGTCCATTTGTGAAGATGTCATGGAAAGTGTTATTCCCAGGGCTTTTTGTGCACAGACCACACTGTGACAAAGCATGGGTCTCTGCTGTGAATAAGAGAAATGAAATAAGAGCAAAGTTCGCCATTTTTTAAGAGTAGAGTGTTATCGATAAAAGGTGGCACGCATAGACGGGGCACCAATGTGTTGATGGCACTGTTCATAGCTCTTCATGGGATGCTGCACATTCTTAGAAGTTCTTGATGTCACTCTAATTAGGAAGGAAAGTGCCGTTAATGAGAACAACGAAATGTTCAGCATGTAATTACCAGAGCAGCCTGTGGATGGACGTTTCCGTAATGTTATGGTGATTCGTGCTATTGCTATTTTATTTAAAGAAATTTTATAATTAAGTGCCTTTTTCAAAAAAAAAAAAAAAGAATTTGCTTCCATAGGTTGTGTTTGTAGGCAAAACAGTAGGGCATTTTCTTAATTAGTGATGGGGAAGACCCAACCCATTGTAGGTGGTGCCACCCCTAGGATGGTGGTCCTGGATTCTGTAAGAAAACAGGCTGAGCAAGCCAGTAAGCAGTACTCCTCCCTGGCCTCTGCATCAGCTCCTGCCTTCATGTTCCTGCCCTGTTTGAATTCCTGCCTGACTTCCTTTGATGATGAATAGTGATGTGGAGGCATAAGCCAAATAAAGCCCTTTTCTCCCTAACTTGCCTTTGGTCATGGTGTTTCATCACAATGTTAGTAACCCTAACTAAGACATAGATTGATTTTATGTGTATAGTTATGGGTGTTAGTGGATTTGCTTGACGTTTTCTGAGCCTCTTGGATGTGTAAATATATATTTTCCATTAACTTCTAGAAATCCCTTAGACATTTCTTCAACTATTCCCTGCACCTTTTCCTTCACTTCTTTTGAGACTCCCTAACGTTACACATCTGTTGGTGATGTGCTTGAGAATGCCCATGGATCTCTGACCCTCTATCTTTCTCCATTCTTTCTCTCAGACTGGAAAGAAAAGTCTCAAGTGACCTATATTCATTCATGTTTGGTGATTCTTTAGTCTATTCACATTTGCTATTTAATCTCTGTGATAATTTTTTACTATAATTATTCAGAATTTTGATAATCAGTTTCTATTTGATTTCTCTTAAGTGGCCCCACTACCTATCACATAGGCAAAAACCAGCAATTGCATTTTTAATTTGTGCTTTTGGTTTTGTCTTCAGAGAGCCAGAAATCTGAAAAGGCAATGGATTAGCATCTAGAATATCTGTCTTCTATCTGGTCTTTAGATAGCAGGTCATATAGACAGAGAACTCACGGAAAGTCATTCCAAAGTTTAGTCAGGGGGCCACTCATGCTTGCCTCTGCTCTTCATCCTGCTGGCTCTTTGCTCTATTTTATCTCCCAACTTAGCCTGGTGTAGGTGGTGGTGGTGGGAGGTGATGGGATAGTGATGGCGAGTCACAGACACCAAGTTCACTGAGTCTTGCATTTCTCCTTAGCCAGTCATTTGGATGATATCTAGGATGACAATTAACTTTTAGCAAACAAGCCACTATTAGTGTTTGCACATAAATTACCTCCTAAAGAATGAAGTACAAATACATTCTTTTAATATTGGCTTTGCAGTATCCCTGTCATTGTGCCCTGTCCACATGTTCTGTTGGAGGCTTAGATCAGTAGCAGAGAACTCAACCAGCATACATTAGGCCTTGGGTTCAACTCCCAGCTCCCCCCCCCCCCAGTAATATTTGGCAAAACGCCTTATCACACTTTCTGTTAGCTCTCCAAATATGATTCCCTTTGTCCTTTGAATAAATTTAAAGTAGTCTTCGTTAATATTAATGTCTGGATGTCTTCTGGGATAATTTCTATTAGCTGGTTATTTTCATGTGTATGAGTCATAATCTCTTCATGTGTATTTTTGTTGTAGAGGATGAGATGTTTGAGTAATGTAATTGGGCAGCACTAGGGGCAGATTGCAGCCCT